TGGCGGTGTGTTAGACTTTTTAAGCGGTGCTACAGAAGCTGCCGATCAGACAAAAGTTATTGAAAATATTGCCACAGCTGTTGAGCAACTAAGTTCAGTTACTGACGGTAAGGCAGATCAAGATTTTAAATTTATACTATTTTTTTTTTCAAATTTAATGTACTATAAATTCTTGATATCGTTATTTGCTTTCATTTTTATCACCAAATTTGCGTAACATTTATCAGTGTGCAAAATTTACATCAATAAAAGCTCATTGAGCAAAATATTTTATACGAATAGCAAAGTTTATTTTCTTTTTTAAGGTACAATCATTGTAATGAATCTTGTGGACCCAAGTTTAGCACCGGGTGTTCGAACTGTTGAACAGAGCGAAGAATTGGCTGAAAAACTTAGTCATCTGGTGTCGACAACTAATGCGGTAATGCAAAAAGCGAGAAACTAAGCAATAAAAAAAAAAAAACAGAAAAATATAAAATTAAGAGCCCATTTGTAGATTTGATAATATATAAAAGTTTTTCACTAAATTTTTTGCAGAAACTTTGGAATTCTATGTATGAAAACGTTCGAGAACGTCCTCGAATTGGTTTATTTGATTTGAATGCTGCAGTACTTGATGCCATGAAACGTCTAAACAAAACAACTCCGTTTACACATCATCGGGATCAAGTAACGTAGGTTTTTTAAACAGTTTAGTCTTGTGATGGATAGGAAATGATCACTTCATATTTTGCGATTTTCTTCTACCTTATTCGAGGAAATTATAAAGCTGCTAAATGATTAAACAATTGCTATTTATAATTGTTTTAAATGCATAAATAAGCAATTAAAAAATTTTGAACAGCAACATTAATAATAGAAATTTGATCTAAAGCTGATTTGTTTGACGTTTTTCGGCACAATAGGTAACAGTTTTACAAATGCATAACTATTGTCTTCCTGTTGTTAATTGCCAGAAAAAAAGTATAAATTTTTTTTGTGAAACTATGAATGTATCAAGTTTTCTGCAATAGACAACAAATGCAGAACTGAGAATCTCCAAATAAAAATAATTACTAAATTAAAATAAAAGAAAAGAAAGCTGTAAAAATAAGCGATAGGATAATTACTAAGAAAATTGTTACACACTGACACTGGAAGTATTTTCAGGACTCGTCAAGTCTATTCATATGCTTATCATGACCTCTGGAATCCATCAACATTTGTACACTACAGTGTTGCACTAAAATTAGTTAACTTTTTGGAAGACCTGTGAAAGTAAATTTTTGTAACAACAACTGCTGTAAACGTTTACAAAATGTGCACTTCTGCTGGAAAAGATTCTTATTGAAACGTTTACATTGTTTTCTTGTCAATATTCTTGTTCACAAGTCTTTTTATTCAAAATTGATCTAAACGCTCAGAATACAGTGACTGTTAGAAACAGCATTTTGTTTTCTAACTATTTTAAAAAATTGCTTTTTTTTTTCAACGTCAAAAAAAAGTTGCTCTAGTTGCGAAAAAAGAAGCAAAATTAATCATATACCAATCTAGAATAGCTCTTAAGTTTTTCAACCAGAGATTTGTCATATGGTTTTTTAATCAACAAAAAACTATACTATTTGCCTAAACAACTCATACATATATTCTGTATGAATATTTTGACGACGATGAAGTAAATGGCTCCAATGTGGAACCCAAAAACGACATCGTTCCTTGAAATGCTGAATTTACAAGTGCATCTTGGTAACGCTGGTCAAATACCCAGCGAGGTTCTGTAACTTCAGAACTGCAAAAAAAATAAATATCTTCTATATTTGTTAATTTGCATTTTTGCAATAACTGTTAAATCTGTTACTCTTTCTTTCTTATAACGTCAGAATTATGTAAGTCTGTTGTATGTATATGTTGAGTGCATTTGCTACGAATCTCTTTATAACCCAATTTATGTGTGCAGTTAATAAAGGTTTTAATTTACAATAATTTTTTGCTTATTTACAGTACTTTTTTTCACTAAGTTACAGGAAAGAATACTACCTTTACTGTATATTCATAAACGTTAAAAGTTTATTAATCAATTTTAAAAAAGTTAGGCTAATATCACTAAACATAAGCGTTACTAAACTGAGTAAACAGTAGTTGTTCACATTAATATTTAAGCAACTTTTAATTGGTATAAATATTGTTTATTTAGATACTATTAGTCAAAAAACTGCTCTCATTCATCGAAATGTGGTTGATCTTCTAAATCATCAACAAATTTCTGTGCATAACCCGTTGGTGTTTTAGTAGTCTGCCTTAAAGCGTCAGGATCAAGTGCCTCCGTATCTTCACTGAACTGCAAATGCGACTCAACTGCGTTCCACACCTGAAGAAATGATTCAACGTTGTTGTCGTCAGACCAGCAGTTCTAATCTACATCATAACGGTGTAAAAAAAAAAAAAGAAACGAAAAATTTCTCACTTTGCCCTCACGAAGTAATTTCACAACAGCCATAATATCTGGATTTAAAGAGCGATCATTTTCTAACTTTCTGAAATTGATATCTTTAAAAGTGGTCTTTGTGAAAAGACATCAATAGAACATAAAGACGTGTTAACTTCAATCGGCTATGTCCATCATACTTTTATTGTTCTATTTAGTAGAGGAACTTACGGGCTGACAGATCTGACCAGTTTGTAGACACTATTCAGCGGTTTTGTGCTAACAAGTGGTTTCAAAAATTCCATCCCTTGACATGCGGCCAAGAGCTCCATTGCAAGAACTAAAAATTATAAACGAATTTACCAAAAAAACAATTTTTTTGTAAATTTCTGAATCGATATCGGTGAAAAACAGAACTACTAAAGTTTACCAGCTTCAACGTGTTCAATCACTTTTAATGCTTTACGAGCAGAAAAGCCACCCATACTAACGTGATCTTCTTGAGCGCAACTTGTCGGTATGCTGTCTGCCGATGCAGGATGGCAAAGAACTTTATTTTCGGATACTGAATACTACTTACGTTAAAAAGCAGTGCAAAGAGTTTTTTTCGGTTTGAATCAAGGTCATGTAATAAAAATGTTTGAAATCATAAGAACCTAACGAAGCTGCACTGAGTTGTACGACCATAAATCCAGAGTTTAAACCACCATTTGGAGTTAAAAATGTTGGAAGACCACTAAGCTCGTGATTCAGAAGTCGCTCTAGTCTAAAATATTGGTCATTAAGATATGGATATGTGAGGCGTGAGTTGAATTAGGACCGGAGAAACAAATGTGCTACCTTCTTTCACTCATTTGAGCCAGTTCATGAACAGCAATTGCCAAATAGTCTAAAACTTTCGCTGGATATTCTCCATGGAAGTTACCGCCTGACACAGTTTCTCCACGTTCAGCAAACACCAAAGGGTTATCAGTAGCCGCATTCATTTCAACAGTTATTATAGAACGAGCAAAACTGATGGTGTCATGAACTATTCCATGCACTTGAGGGACACATCTTAATGTATAGGCATCTTGGACTTTGCCACAATGACGATGTGATTCTGCAAACATGAACGTTTCGAAATGATTAGATGACAGTGAATGATATTTTAGGTTACTCCTAAGTTAGATGAGATCAGGTTTTTCTATTGCAGTTTGAATTTTTAAACTTCAGTTCTGCTCACTGAAACAATAAAAGATTGACACTTTGTTTTGTTATGTGTCTTTAGTGACCGTTAAATGAGTTTCTTCACTTCATTCTTTTACGGTGTATCCAGAAAAATAGCTCCTTTTCTGCTGCAGTATTCGTTATCTATCTAAACTTTTCAAAGTACAGGCTTTAATTCTAGTTAATCAGCCAAATTTTAAAATTTTTTACTATTTGTTATAGAAGTCGAGATAATAGCAATTATAATTTTTTTTTGGTTAAATTTACCAGCAATTTTTGACGGATTTGCAGCAGAGTGTAGAAGTGATCGCAGTCTTTGGGCGGTAGCTATTTGTCCAGCATGACCACGGATTGCATGAATATCTAAAGTAGTAATCTTGACGCACAAAGTTTACATTTCATAAAGGAATTTTTTCATTTAAAATTAAGCCAATTTAATACGAAGTGCATTGTAAAGTAACATAAATTAAAGGTATGTGGACAGTCATAAGTTCAATAAATTTGATATGTTTTTAGTAACAGCTTTTTTTTTTTTAAATCAGTGCTGTCATTTAAAAGTTTGTGTTCTTAATGTTTTTACCGGCGTCGTAAGCCTTCGTGGTTCCTTTCAATACATCTAAAGACAGTGCTGCAATGACATCTGCTTGACGGGCTATAAGGTCGGCTCGTTCCACGGCTCAAAGATTTTATAATAAGTGTAGCTTAACTACAGAGCAGTAAACATTTAAAATGTTATTACACATAACAGTAAAAAGGTTCTAGTAAAAATTGTAGCTGAGAGACCTGAAAGTAAATTGAATTTCTAAAATACCTAATGCACCAAGTGCTGTAATCATTTGAGTGCCATTAATAAGTGCTAATCCTTCTTTTGGGCCTAGATCCATTTTCTGAAAAAAACGATTAAAAAATTATGAGCATCAAAGATTCGCAAATCTTGCGATAAAACTGATTTTAAGTAGACCTCTAAATTATTTTTCTTAAGCACAAGAGCTGCATCGTCCCAGCCTGTTAGCGGTGACCACATTCGACCTTCTCCGAGCAGGCCAAGAGCAAGATGTGCTAATGGAGCTAAGTCACCGCTAGCACCCACAGTACCCTGTTGTGGTACGTACGACACGCAAAAAGCTACAAGTAGAAACCTTTAGCCATTTACAGAGTTTGATAATTCATAAAGTGTATTCTGATTAAATTCTCTATAAAGAATTGTCAATGTTTTGGCTGATTTTCATAATTATTTTTACACTTATTCTAGGTATCTTTGTACCGTTAAAAGCAGCGATCATTTTTTTGACATTTGCAAGCGATATTCCACTGTATCCTTTGGCCAAAACATTGATACGTAAGGCTAGAAGAACTCTTGCTCGTGTTGGTGACAACGGTTCACCATATCCACTGGCATGAGATCGAATAAGGTTCAACTGTAGCTGTCTAAAATTAGACTAACATTTTGCAAGTTTATCATCTTGCTGCTTCAGATGTATGCGCAGAATTCTTCCTATAAATTGGCAAATTCATTAAAACAGTATTTTCTTTAGTTAAACTTTTGCAAAGAATGATGAAATGTTTAATGAAGCTGAAAGCATTGAGGTTTTATTGACTATTTAGTGGTCTCAGTGGTTTTCGGATACAATCATACATACTTTAACTTATCCGGTTCTATCCGAACGTTCGCAAAAGTGCCGAAGCCGGTTGAGACGCCGTATACAGCTTAAATGTAATAAAAAAAAATCATTAAACGAATCAGTCACAACAAAAAAAAAAAAAAGCAAATAACCAAATTGTTTTTGATAGAAAATTGTTTCATAAAACTGAAAATGTGAAGATTATAATATTTGGGTATTAATAGTACACAAATATTACTTGAGTTATTCTCAACAATTTTATCGAGCAGTTTTCGAGATTTATTGATTCGCTCTTCAGCATCTGCCGACAACTGGAAGCAAACCGAAGATGTATCCAACATTTTTATAAAAAAAAATAGATAAAAAATAAAACTTCTCATTCAGATTTTTTTTATAATTGAAACAGTAATATAGCTGACCTCTAAATAGTATTCACCTCTTTCACACAACACCAAATCATGCGGTTTCATACTACTACCGTCTAAGATCAATCTTTTCGGTTTTTCCAGCTTTTGTTCACTACCATATATGGGTTCTTCAGAAGAAATTCTACAATTGCAACAGCAATAAGTCATTTTCTTTTGCAAAATATGTTGTACAATTTTTAAACTTCTTTTTTTCATGTTTTTTTTTTTCGGTTTTTATTAGAAACAGAAAACTTTTTTTTTTTTTTTCGTTTAGAAGTATCTAAAATTAAAAAAAAAAAAAATTTTTTTTTTCTTTCAGATAATAACCAAATAAAACAATCAAAAAATTATGTATATATAAAAAGTAGTAACAGTTACATTTTTGCTTTATGCATATCCATATGCTGAATGTCAATGCCAGGCCATTGATCATTTTTACTATTGAACAGCACTGAAAGATGATTGAAGAACAGTATATATTATCTGTACTGACAAAAAAAAGAGAAAAAATTTTTGTTTTAAATTTAAATAAAAATTTTATTCTTTTTGTAAATACTTACAAACTGTAATACAGTCATCATCTTTTAGCACTTTTTCAGCTATATCATCAGGATCCAACAGTAAATTTCCAACTGTTTTTCGAACCTCACTGTAACCATTTTTCCTATCATCATCAGCAATTAGCTCTGGCTTAAGTTTAACAATTTTAGCAAGTGCTTCGTTAACAATCTAAATAAAACAGCAACAGTTCTTCATTTGTAGAAAGAAATATTAATAACAAGAAATTAATTCAGACTTATAACAGTATGTTTCTTTTTCAAAAAAAAAAAGCTTCTACAGTATGCTGAAATATCAAAATGTTACTAAATTACTAATAATTCCAAATTTTCAAATGCTTCTACAGTATTGTGGTTTTCATCATCATTTTTTTTTAACTTTTTTCCTTTTTGTAACTTTAACATTAATATATATTATTGCAGATGAAATATTGTTTACAAAAAAAAAAATCGAAAAAAAAAGGAAAACAATGATAGGATCTTTTTTGACAAAAAAAAAAAAACTTGACAGGCTTAGTCTATTGATCATAGATTGTAAAAGGTAATCAATCTTACTTAGTACAACAACAACAACAACAACACTACGGAATTTTTTGTTTTCTATAAATGCAATTTTTATTTTTATTTTTTTTGTAATTTAAAGAAAAATATTTTTTCTTCAAAAGATAACAGAAGAAGAGAGTAGAAGATTGAAATGGTTTTGTTTAATCAAAAATATCAATACAAAAAATATGTTCCCGCAATAAATCTTTGTAAATATCGGAGAAATATCATTAATAATCAAATAATTTTTTTTTTGTAAATTAAATTTCTACAACTAATTGCCAAGTAAACTGTTAATTTGGTATTGTTGTTGTTCTTTGTTTTTTTTTACTATTAATTGATTTAATAGATGGATATATTGTCTGTTGGAGTACTGTGTGATAAACTGCAACTAATCAGACAAACCAAAAAATATACCAGCTCAAATAGTGGTCATTTTCTTTGCCCCTATTAGTGGACATTTTTTTGCTGTTAGTAGTGATTTCCAGTTTTTTTTAAGGGGCTTCTTTCAACTTTCTGTTTTTTTGTCAAATAAAAGCTAAAATTTTTGAAGTTTGAGGAAATTTTAAATTTTTATTTCTGTTATGAATGAAATTTGTGAAAGGAGAGGGAGAGAGGGGGGGGGTGAAGGGTGGGGGGGAGGCGAGAAGAAAAAAAAACAGAGGATAAAAGAGCGTAATTTTAACCTTATCAATAGTATCCGTTTCGTTGCAACTGATCGCCAAACATTCAGTTTGAATATTCACCTGAATCCGCATAATTTTTTGCTGTTTATTTTTTGTTCTTTTCAACAGATCCAAGTTTGAGACTAAAATATAAATAACATT